GAGCGAAGCAAATGCAAGAAAATGCAAGATCATACCATTCGAGGCAGAGCAGAGCAATATGAACGGGTGCATGTGAAGCACGACACATGCACATGCACATGCGACGCAAAGCAATGCAGTGCAATGCAAAGCAATGGACTGCAAAGAGCCGATCAAACTCCATGAACCCCGGGGACTCAGAGATCCCAGGGACCGGGAACCCAAGGAAAGATCCCGAGGAACCCAGGCTGGGAGTCGCAAGTGCAATCGAGTCTCTTTCTTAAATAAAAAGGAGGGGTGAGAGAGGAACGAGTAGGAAGGAGGGAAGAGGGAGAAGCGAGGATACAGCAGGAAGGAAGGATGAGGGAGGACTCGGACACGGGCGGGTGGAGGGAGGAGGAACTGAGGAAGGGAAAGGAGTGAGGCGGGATCGCATAGCGTCACCCTGGAAGCGCCACCAACGGTCCCAGAAGAAAGGCAGGTTTCACATGGCGTCACCACGACAATTCCTGGGCGCCCCTCGCACGGATTGTGCCCCCCAGGGAGCTGCACATACGGTGCCAGTGTCATAATTCGCATGGCGCTCTGCCGCCCATTTCGGCACACCCTTTACGTACATGGATGGTGCCCCACAAGGAGTTCCACGTACGGCCCCACGAGGAGGATTCGCATAGCGTCCCCTTGCATATTTCGACTCACCCCTCAAACGGGTCGTGCCCCAGAGGAAGCTCCGTCGACGGCCCCATAGACAAGGTTCAATCCACTCAAGTCGGCACACCCCTGACATGGATCGTGCGTAGCCCTCTGGGGAATCCACCTACGGCCCCAGAGAGAAAAGGATTCGCATGGCGTCTCCCCGCCCATTTCGGCACACCTCTCACACGGATCGCGCCCCATAGGGAGCACCACCGACGGCTCCAACGGGAGGGGTCGCATGGCATCCCTCCGCATATTTCGGCACACCCCTGACGCGGATCGTGCCCCGCAAGGAGCTCCACCTGTGGCACCAATGGGCAGATTCACATGAAGCCCCCACGCCCGTTTCGTTTCCCGCCTTGCACTTCTCATCGTCCCTTTTCTTTATCTTCCTGTTCTCTCCTCCTCGTCCTCCTCGAGGCTTCTCCTCACGCCGGGACGACGACGACGACAACCACCACCACGACCACCATGACGGCCGTTGACGGCAACACCATTTCCTTCGCGTTCCGAGTCTTCGCCCTCGGTCCCTGTCCATGGCGTACCTTTTCCTGCACATCCACTTCGGCACCGCCTGCTCCCCGGGACCCGCCCGCTCTGGCCGCCTGAGGCCCCGCCTTCAAGTGCCCTGTCTCCCTAATTAAAGCTGTGCGTAGCCCGCCTAGCTTTTAGCGGAAGAGGTTCGCTCTCGCCCCGCAGATAAAAAAAGGGTGTGCTGAAATCGGCGGGACGCTACGCGAGCACGCCTGCTCAGACCATGGGTGGAGCTCCCTGGGGGGGGCACGAAACGTGCGAGTGGTGTACCGAATAGATAGGCGGGAGGGGGGGGAGGGGGGCGCTTTGCGAGCCCGCCTGCTGAGGCCACGAGTTGAGCTCCCTGGAGGGCACGAAATGTATGAGGGGTGTGTGGAAAAGAGCGGGGAGACGCTATGCGAGTACGCCGGCCGCCTGCCGAAGCTATGAGTTGAGCTCCCTGGAGGGCACGAAACGTGTGAGGGGTGTGCCGAAATGGGCGGGGTGACGCTATGCGAGCACGCCTGCTGAGGCCACAGGTGGAGCTCCCTGGAGGGCACGACACGTGTGCGAGCACGCCTGCTGGGACCATGGGGCGGAGCTCCCTGGAGGGCACGAAACGTGTGAGGGGTGTGCCGAAATGGGCGGGGTGACGCTATGCGAGCACGCCTGCTGAGACCATAGGTGGAGCTCCCTGGAGGGCACGAAACGTGCGAGGGGTGTCCAGAAATGGGCGGGGGGACGCCATGCAAGCACGCCTGCTCAGACCATGAGTGAAGCTCCCTGGAGGACACGAAACGCTTGAGGGGTATGCCGAAATGAGAGGGGGCACGCTGTGCGAGCACGCCTGCTGAGGACATGAGCGGAGCCTCATGGAGATCACGATAGGTGTGAGGGGTGTTGCGAAATGGGAGGGGGAGGAAAAGAAAGTATAGTATGAGCAGGAAGAGGAGGAGGAGGAGGAGGAAGAAGAGGAGGAGGACGACGACGACGAGGACGAGGAGGAAGGTCAGCAAAAGTAGCAGGAGTGGCAGCGATGGGAGGAGGAGAAGCAGGAGGAGGAGGACGAGAAGGAGGGGGGCAGGAGGAGGAGGAGGAGGAGGGAGGAAGGAGGACCCAACTCACAGGAGAGTTGGGAACAACAAATTGTTTGCAGCACTTGTGTTGACACGTAAGCCGTTTTGGAAGCATATTAGGGGGCGTCTAGGGCCGTATCGGAGATAATTTGTGGCCCTCTTGGGGGCCTCCCAGGGGCTTCTAGGGGGCCTCTTGGGGCCTCTTGAGCGCTCTTGGGCCTGTTGGGGCCGCATGGGGGCCTCTTGGGCCGTCTTGGACGCGTCCTGGGCCTCTCTTGAGCCCGTCCTGGGGCTCTCTCGGGCTATCTTGGGGGCGGCTTGGGCCGTCTTGGGCCCCTCTTGGGCCGTCTTGGAGCCCTCTTGGGAGCCTCTTGGGCTGTCTTGGGGGTCTCTTGGGCCGTCTTGGACGCTGTGAAAGTCCAAGAGGATAATCTGCTAAAGATACAAACTTCCCTAAAGAAATGAAGCGACTTTTACATGTTTCGGCTCTCTTGGGAAGCGTCGTGGAGGCCTCTTCGGACGTCTGGGAAGCCTCTTGGGACGTCATGGGGGCCATTTTGGGCGTCTTGGGGCGACCTTTCAACGTCTTGGGGACTCTCTTAGCGCCGTCTCGTGGCGTTTTGTCGACCTCAGGGTCTCCACAAAGGCCCAGGCAGCGCCCCAAAAGGCCTCAGCACGCACATCTGTGGTCGTGGCTCCGGCCCCGGGCCCCCCGGACCCGGTGCGCCGCTATTTGTGTCTTCGCTGCACTGGCGGTACACTTAGGACACTAGTACGGCGAACTAGCTTCTAATTCGCCGTTTTGTGGGCGCACTGGGGCCATCAGAGTGACGAACTAGCTTCTAATTCGCCGTCTTGTGAGCGCACCGGGGGCACCAATATGCCGAACTAGATTCTAGTTCGCCGTTCTGGCGGTACTCTTCGGGAACCTGTTCGCCGTTTGTGGGCGCACTGAAAGCACCTAGGGGCACCAGAGTGACGAACTAGATTCTAGTTCGCCGTTCTGGCGGTAGCAGAATGGCAAACTAGATTATCGCCTTTTTGTGGGCGACTGACGCAACCAGAATGACGAACTAGATTATAATTCACCGTTCTGGTGGTACCAGAACGGCGAACTAGGTTCTAGCTCACCGTTTTGTGGGCGCACCGGGGGCACCAGAATGACAAACTAGATTCTACTTCGCCGTTCTGGCGGTACTCTTCGGGCACCTGTTCGCCGTTCGTGGGCGCACTGAGGGCACCTGGGGGGCACCAGAGTGACGAACTAGATTCTAGTTCGCCGTTCTCGCGGTAGCTGAAGGGCGAACTGGATTCTAGTTCGCCGTTTAGTGGGCGCACTGAGGCCACCAGAATGACGAACTAGATTCTAACTCGCCGTTCTGGCGGTACCAAAACGGCGAACTAGATTCCAATTCACCGTTTTGTGGGCGCACCGGGGGTACCAGAATGACGAACTAGATTATAATTCGCCGTTCTGGCGGTACCAGAACGGCGAACAAGATTCTAGTTCGCCGTTTTGTGGGCGCACCGGGGGCACCAGAATGACGAACTAGATTCTAGTTCGCCGTTCTGGCGGTACTCTTCGGGCCCCTGTTCGCCATTTATGGGCGCACTGGAGGCACCTGGGGGCACCAGAGTGACGAACTAGATTCTAGTTCGCCGTTGCGGCGGTGCAAGAACGGCGACCTAGATTCTAGTTCGCCGTTTTGTGGGCGCACTGGGGGCACCAGATTGACGAAGTAGGTTCTAGTTCGCCGTTCTGGCTGCGCTCTTAGGGCACCTGTTCGCCGGTTCCCCAAGGCGACGACGACGACGACGACGACGACGACGACGACGACGACGACGACGACGACGACGACGACGACGACGGCGGCGGCGGCGGCGGCAGCGATGGTGGCGGCGACGGCGGCGACGAACGACGAGGTTGACGACGGCGGCGGCGGCAGTGGCGGCGACCGGCGAAGGCGCCACAATAGAACCGCCACCGCGCTTGCAGAGGGTTGGCTTTACCTCCCTTGTCCTTCCTCGTCGTCGCCGTCCTCTTCTTGCCCCTCCCTCCCGCGAACACCGCGCACGAACGCCGCGACGTGCCCGCGAGCACCACGACACGGTTGAACCACGCGCCTGCGAGCACCGCGCACATGCACAACCGAATGCCGGACCTAGTCGAAATCGCAAAAAGAGCTGCGCGCGGCGTCTTCGAGCACCACCAATAAGTCTGCATGCGTTACAGTAGCACGCGAGAACTTGGTATACCTGTGTACCTGCGAGCAGCACGACATGCCTCGGGCACCAGCATTTCTAAAGGGGGTCCAAATCGCCCCCCCGCGCACGATCGTTACCGTTACCCGGGGGGGGCTGGCCCGGAAAACAAACGTTACCCGCCAGAGCAACTTAACAAACCAATCTCCAAGAGGATCAGAACGTTGGGGAAAAGCGGCGGCAGAAAAGACTGCGAGGGGGACAACGGACGGGAACGGTGGGCAGCAACGCAACGCAACAGGACGATGATCAGCATGAGGTGCACGCGCAATGCAATGAAGAGGAACCGCAGTAGGATGAACCGGGGACAAAGCAGGGAAGGTGCGGAGGGGGAGGAGGATGCGATGTGCTGACGACATGGCGACGAGGAAAGGGAGGATGGAAGAGCGCGGCAAGCATGATCAACATCGCCAAACACTTGCGAAATCAACGTTCGTTTTCGTTTTCGCCCCCCCCCCAAAAAAAACACACCGCAGTCTGTCCTGGCTCGCCGATTTCATGGAGGCAAAGGTGTCCGGGAGCGACGTCCCGAGCGCAACGATGGTCACGGCCGTGATGCTCCTGGCGCTCTGGGGAGGCAGCATCGGCAGCAGGGCGCAGCCCAGCATCTCCGCGAGGTCCCCGATCACCGCGGTGAGGACCCCTATCACCACGAGGGCGGCAGCGAAGCAGACCCAGCCGCCGCAGAAGATCGGCGGCGGGACGCACGCGCACATCAGCTTCCAGGGGAAGAGCGCGAGGTGCAGAGCGTGGTCCACGAAGCCGGCGGGCTCGTCGCCCATCCTCAGCTCGAGGAACTGCTCTCGCCAGCTCACCTTGCCGAGCGCAAAGTGATCGGCGTTCAGCGGCTGCAGGTCTGCGAGGCGTCCGAGCCATGTGCGCGCCTCCTGGTCACGCTGGATAGTGATGGTGCAGATGCAGCTCGTGCTGCTCCCATCGACACTGTCGTCAAACTTCGCCTTGCCCGTCGCGTCCGAGATGATCAAGCGGAACTGCTCCGTCTTGTCGCGGTGGATTTTCGGCAGGATCTGGAGCTTCAACGTCTTGACGGCCTCACCATGGTCGAACTCCAGGGTGCCACTGATCGGCTCATAATCAATCTTCTCGGTCGCGGTCATGTCCTCCGTCCGGTATCTGCAAGAGACCTTCCCGTAAGACCCCGAGCTGCGGTGAACCTCCACCGCCAACGGCGTCGTGGCGTCGCACGACTCGCGAACGCTTATGTCGTAGTCCTTGAAGCCGAACACACCTGGATGATTGTTGTCAAAGATCAATATACTCGCCACATCGGCTCCTGGAGCGTCGCCGCGCTCTCGCGCGAGCCCCACCGCACTCCTGCTGTCGGGAGGGACGGAGAGGTGGAGCTGGAAATTCTCCGTTTCCTCGTACTCGGTGTCCTCCACTATGACAATGCTCACCGTTTTGCTTGCCTCGTGGCGGTCGAAGGTGATGTCCGAGTCGATCGCCACGTAGTCGCTCCCAGCCTTCGCGGTGCCGTCAACAGTCTTGACGTGCACTCTGCACGGGCGGGAGAGGTCACCCGTCCTCGTAATCACGCAGTCCACCTTCCTATCAGACTCGTGGACCATGTAGAAGATGCAGCGATGCTCGACGCAGCATGGAACAGGATCGTCCCAGGGTACGGTCTGATTGTGCGCGATCTGCACAAGTGCCTTCAACTATGTTGTTCCCATCGTACTTCAGGACCACACACCAGAAATGCTTTCGAGCACCCAGAAAAAGTATCGAAACAGTGTCTGCCCGAGGTGCTGGCGAAGCGTCGAACGAGCACCGCCTCGGGCCCGACACATGAAAACTCGCAAGTCTCGGTACTTCCTTTATGCTCGAAATCGTTCCTGGCGATCGAAGCTAAAGCAAGAAGGAACATCATAAGCTTAGGTCGAGCATGTCCCCCTACAGGCGGATTTTGGACGAATGATACAAACAAAGTTACACAACACACACACACAAATGCTCGGAACAAATCGAGAGATCGGCCCGATACTTTTTTGATTACTTCTGGATACTCCTCCTGTACAGGGACGGGCCCGACTTAATCATAAGCCTTCACACCAGGGACTGCTGCGCCGACACTCTCCTGAGTCTTCACCGCCGCAAACGGCAACGGCTTCCCCCCGAACATGTCGCGAGTGGCCTGCATGCGCCTCTGCGCCCGGGACGGCCGGGGATCGAACTCGTAATGGATCAGATCCTGGATTTGTGTTGCTCCCATTGAACTTAAAGACCACACCCCAGAAATCCGCCGACCCTGGAGGCGTGTAAGGGAAAGTGACTAACATTGATGAACACAAGTTCTCGCCCACCACTGAGCAATACTCCCATCTTCGCCCCGGCAGAGCTCAGTTCTTCGAACCCCCCACACGACAATCTCTCGCCCAAAACGTACCGACCCCCCCCACCGCGCCCCCCACCACGCCCCCCACCCCACGGGAGCTCAGATCTTCGGACCCCCACACAACAATTTCTCGCCCGAAACCTACCGACAACCCCCGCCGCGCCCCCCACCACGCCCCGACACACCACCCCACGAATGCTCAGTTTTTCTGACCCCCCACACGACAATTTCTCGCCCGAAACCTACCGACACCCCCCACCACGCCCCCCACCACGCCCCGGCACCCCACCCCACGGGAGCTCACTTCTTCGGACCCCTCACACGACAATTTCTCATCCGAAACCTATCGGCACTCCCCACCGCGCCCCCCACCACGCCCTGGCACCCGGGAGCTCCGTTCTTCGGACCCCGCACACGACAATTTGTCACCCGAAACCTACACCCCCCACCACACCCCCCACCACGCCCCGGCACCCCACCCTACGGAGCTCAGTTCTTCGGACCTTTCGCACGAGCGTCCCACCACGCCCCGGCACCCCACCCTACGGGAGCTCGGATCTTCGGACCCCCCACACGATAATTTTTCACCCGAAACCTACGGACACCCCGCACCGCGCCCCCACCACGCCCCAGCACCCCACCCCACGGCCGCGCAGTTCTTCGGACCCCGCACTCGACAATTTCTCACCCGAAACCTACCGACACCCCCCACCACGCCCCCCCACCACGCCCCGGCACCCCACCCCACGGGAGCTCACTTCGTCGGACCCCCCCACACGACAATTTCTCATCCGAAACCTATCGGCACTCCCCACCGCGCCCCCCACCACGCCCTGGCACCCGGGAGCTCCGTTCTTCGGACCCCGCACACGACAATTTGTCACCCGAAACCTACCGACACCCCCCACCGCGCACCCCACCACGCCCCGGCATGCCCCGGCACCCCATTCCACGGGAGCTCCGGTCTGAGGACCCTCCAAACGACAATTTCTCGCCCGAAACCTACGGATAACCCCCACCGCGCGCCCCACCACGCCCTGGCACCCCACTCCACGGGAGCTCAGTTCTTCGGACCCCCCACACGACAACTTCTTTCCCGAAACCTACCGACACCCCCCACCGCGCCCCCCACCACGGCCCAGCACCCTACTCCACGGGAGCTCAGTTCTTCGGAACCCCGCACTCGACAATTTCTCGCCCGAAACCTACCGACAGCCACCACCGCGCCCCCCACCACACCCCGGCACCCCACCCCACGGGAGCTCGGTTCTTCGGACCCCTCACACGACAATTTGTCCCCCGAAACCTACCGATACCCCCACCGCGCCCCCCACCACGCCCCGGCACCCCACCCCACGGGAGCTCAGTTCTTCGGACCCCCCACACGACAATTTCTCGCCCGAAACCTACCGACATCCCCCACCCCCACCACGCCCCGCGAGCTCAACCCCCCACACGACAATTTCCCGCCCGTACCGACACCCCCACCGCGCCCCCCACCACGCCCCAGCACCCCATTCCACGGGAGCTCCGGTCTTCGGACCCCCCCACACGACAATTTCCCGCCCGATACGTACCGACACCCCCCACCGCGCCCCCCACCACGCCCCGGCACCCCACCCCAGGGAGCTCTGTTCTTCGGACCCCCCCCCACAATTTCTCGCCCAAAACCTACCGACCGCGCCCCCACCACGCCCCGGCACCCCACCCCACGGGAGCTCTGTTCTTCGGACCCCCCACACGACAATTTGTCACCCGAAACCTACCGACGCCCCCCACCGCGCCCCCACCACGCCCCGGCACCACACTCCACGGGAGCTCAGTTCTTCGGACCCCCCGCACGACGACTTCTCGTCCGAAACCTACCGACACCCCCCACCGCGCTCCCCACCACGCCCCGGCACCCCACCCCACAGGAGCTCACTTGTTCGCACCCCGCACACCACAATTTCTCGCCCAAAACCTACCGACACCACCCACCACGCCCCCCACCACGCCCCAGCACCCCACCCCACGGGAGCTCGGACCGCCGGACCCCCCAAACGACAATTTCTCGCCCGAAACCTACCGACAACCCCCCACCGCGCCCCGCACCACGCCCCGACACACCATCCCACGGAAGCTCAGTTCTTCTGACCCCCCTCGCGACAATTTGTCGCCCGTAACCTACCGACACCCCCCACCACGCCCCGGCACCCCACCCCACGGGAACTCAGTTCTTCGGACCCCCCACACGACAATGCACGCCTTCCCTCCCTCCTTCCCTCTCCCTTATCCTCTTCGTTTCCCCTCCCCAGTTCCTCCCCCCTCCTGCCTCCTCCCCCGGGAGCGAAGAAGGAGATTGAGGAGAAAGGGAAGCGGAGGATCATGTGATGTAGGATTTTGAGCGTTGCTAACATGTGTTCATGCCGCCAAGTGTCTTCCACAAAAAGATGAACGAGCAAAATCCACCACCGTGCCTATAGGCACGGAATGGGCGAACCTCATGTCCTTTTTTCCCAAATCCGCTGAGGCTCGGTGATCAGGACCCACACGGCCCTGCGTCATCGAAAGAGCACTCCAAAACGCCCAAGGTAGCCTGCTCTCCTGCAACATCCCCTCCCCCCCCCATGGTTCACACATCGCAAAACTGCAAGCTCTTCTGGGGTGGCCTGAGGGACCTGAGCGACTGGGTGACCTGTGTGACCTGCAAGACCTGTGCACCTGTGAGACCTGTGGGACCTGCGAGAGATGTGGGACCAATGGAACCTGTGTTTGTTGGGCGGGGAGAAACGCACTGAAATGATAGCGCTTTCGTCGCGCACCCCCGATACCGACCTGAGCAATGTCATATCTCTATTCCGCTTACTCGCGCGTGGCGAGATGCAAAGGCGAGTAAAACCTTTGACTTCCGACCTACCCATTGTTCCGTCTGCCGTGGGAGACACTCTACCATTTGAAAACGCGAGGGATGGTGCCTGAAATCACAGAGGGGCTGCAAGAGAACCCCAAACGCCCCTTAAAGTGACGGGATAGTGCCTCAAGACGCACGCCAAGAAAGCCCAAGCTGGCCCATACAAACCAACGTTTCCCAAAAGTAATGGCCCCGAGACCTCCCCATAAATCTCCGGAAACTCGGCCATGCCGCCTAGGCCACCCAGCATTTGGGACACTGAAAACACCCTTAAATCCGTGTTTGGGTGGCTTCTACTTCTCGCCCTTGCGAAGGTCAGCCGCTCCAAGAAAACCCCGCAAGCCCACAGGATCCGCCGAAGACGGCCCAACAGGCTCCTAAACGTACCACAAGACGGCACACGTGTGCCCCCGAACAACCCACCCATGAAGCCCGCCCGACATCCCTAACCGACCCGAGGGAACCCAACGAGATCCCCTCGTCTGGGGTCGGCGGCGGAGGCGGCAGCCTTTCAATATATGTAGAGATAGGAAGAGGGGGAGACAGAGAGACATTATCATTGATCATCGATCAGATTCCACAAACACACACACCATGTATCTTGTACCATGTACGTGTGTATGTGCGGACGTATGGATATATTAGTGCATGGACAACAGGGGAACGGCACTGGCCTCCCGTCTGCTGCGATGCCTTCTGCAGGAACTCAGTGCAGAGTAAGGGGCCCGACATCAAAACATCGAAGCGCCAAACGGCATCTGCCACAGATCCCGCGACGATTTTGGAACGAATGTTGACGCCGCTCGGCGCGCAGAGGCATACGCCCGGTGGCAGTGTGCAGGACGCCTGGCCCTTCCAGGTCATAAGTTGTTTTGACATCGCTAGTCGTGTCAGTCTGGCTGACCATCCTCATCCTCATCCACCGGAAGCACACCCCACACACCGTTCCTCCGCAATCACACCCAACGGTCAATAGCTTGAGCGAGAAGGGCATATGAACATGTTAGGGGTGGGTGGGTTGGAAGCGTCTGGAAGATATGTAAAAATCAGCGCGGATGACATGAAAGCTTAACTTGTGGGCCCCCAGGGCCCGAAGGAGGTCCCCAGGGCGTTCAACCTTGAACGTTTGAGAACCAGAGCCAGCACAAAGCAGAGCCCAGAGGCCCCAAGAGGTTCAGCAGAGGCCCCAAGAAGTTCTTCAGAGGCCCCAAGAAGCGCATAAGAGGCCTCGCATGAGCCTTTAAAGGCCCCAAGGAACGCTTCAGAGGCCCCACGACTTTCGTCAGAGATCCCAGAATGCGCTTAAGAGGAATCATTTCCATGATTGTCGGAGCCAGACCCACCCTCCCGCACCGTGCTCGACGATTGTCGAACTCTTGACAAAGCACACTGGGCCATGGAAAACACACTTGCCACAGAGAAACCAATCTGGCCACAGAGAAAGCTTCCCCTCCCCCGCCTCCTCCTCCTTCAGGGTCATCTTCAGGGTCATCATCATCATCATCATCATCATCATCATCATCATCATCATCATCATCATCATCATCATCATCAGCATCAGCATCAGCATCAGCATCAGCATCAGCATCAGCATCAGCATCATCATCGTCATCATTATCATCATCATCATCATCACCATCAGCAGCATGAGCATCATCATCATCAGCAGCATCATCATCATGATATTCCTCCTTATCCTCCTCCTTCTCCTCCTCGTTCTCCTCCTCCTACTCTTCCTCCTCCTCCTGTTCCTCCTCGTCCTCCTGTTCCTCCTCGTCCTCCTCCATTCTGTCTCCTTGTAGATAACTCGTCCCTGCCGTATCCCGAAATCGTTCGAAAGGGCGGCCCAGGCGTTCCACATGGGCCTTCCTCACGATCCTGAAGCTCGAGAAGTTACAATAGCTTCGCTGATGGAGAGCAGCCTGTTTTCAAAACGAATTTCCGGTCTTAGCGCCGTGCACACTCGTCTTGAAAGTTTGCAAGAATTTCCTGGATCGAGAGCGGCCCGTTCTCAAAATGTGCCTCTCGCCTCAGCGCCGCGCACATTCGTCTTCAAGTTCGCAAGGGTTTCACACATGGAGGGCGGTTAATTTTCAAAATGTGGTTCTCGCCTTAGCGCCGTCCACATTCGTGTGAAGAGCGTGCAACAATTTCAAGGCCTCTCATGGTTAACGTCCGAGAAATGGTGGTTTGGCACGGTGTCGAAATGTCAAGGCGCAATAATCACGTTGATTCGCGGTGCTGAAGTCCCAGGATTGGCTGTCTGGCACGACTCAAGACCGCCAAGATGCAACAGCAACGGTGATTCGCGGCGTTGATGTCCCAATGATGGCATTATGGCACACTTCTGGACTTCGAAACGGTTGTCTTCCAGCGGGGCACTTCCGTCCGCGAAAATGCATCCATGCACGGGGTCTATCATTGATGTCTCTTCGCTTTACACTGATAATACATCTCCTCCTCCTCCTCCTCCTCCACCACCTCCAGCGCCTCCTCCTCCTCGGCCGCTGAACCACTGATGGTCTGGGAGCCCGACGGACACGACCACCCTTCGCCCCAGGGCCAGACGGCCCTGGGGGGGTGATAAAAACCAAGAGCCTGGCGATGATTTGGGCGGTCGCTCCAGGAGTCCCCGGCTGCTGGGAGCATCTGTGAGGAGAACGGCAACGAGATCGCAAGACCCAAATAGGAAGAGAGAAGAGGGAGAGAAGCAGCAAGCAAACTTCGAAGAAGGAGAAAAAGGGGCAAGTGGTGATTCATTCCCCCCTGTGCTCCTACTGCTCCTCATGCGCCTCTTCCTCTTCCTCCTGTCCTCCTCTTCATCTTCCTCCCCATGCTCCGCGCCCTCCTCCCCGACCTCAGGGTCGGCGGCACCGGCCGTAAGGCCTTCGCAATAATTTTGAGCACCAGGAGAAGTGTCGAAATAGTGTCGAAACAGTGTCGGACGAGTGTTTCCCAGGGCCCGACACGTGAAAACCCTAGAGTTTGGGGGTGTTTTTCTGGCGCTCGAAATTCTTTCAGATGATCAAGGCTAAAGTAAGTTGGAACATCATAATCCTGGATGAAGTCCGACACGTTCTCGCCCTCGCCGTACTTCCTCCGTATCTCCATCACCATCTGTGCCTTCTCCTCAGAGGAGAAAGAGGTACCAGTACCGCTGCCCTTGCCTCGCTTTCGCCTTCTCGAGGGGCTCCTGGGACGCCTCGTCACCACCGCTGGATTCGCCTCGGAATCCTGGTTTGAGGGCACCCCAGGAGACGTCCAGGGAGTGGCGGTATCGGCACCGTTTGGTTTCCCCTTGTCCTGCGGAGTGGAGTCCCTGGTGAGGACCAGCTTGGAGCTCGATCTCCTCCTGTTTCTGCGCAAGATGCCTGCGTCTGCAGCATACGCAAACCAAATAAGAGCTGGGAAAAATAGAAATGTCATCAATCCTTCCCACCATTCCACCACGTGAGGAGACGTCACAAGAAGGATGAATACCAGCCAAAGGTAAGCAAACACAGAAAAAGACGCCGTGATCATGAACACAGGCAACTCCTTGATAGACCTTACCTCACCCGCCGGAATACAGACCACGCACACCGCGATGATGACGTGCAGGTTGAAGGCTGCACTGCCCACGATCGTGGAGGGCCCGAGCTCGCCGCTGTGCATACCATTGCTTATCAGCTCGATGACGCTCAGCAAGATCTCTGGTGCGCTGGAACCCAACGCCATGAGCGTCAAGTTGGCAACCGTGGGGTTCCAGACGTTATACGTCCTGAAATGGTCTCCCTCCCTCACTCGGACCTTCTTCGATGTGATCTTCTCGATTGCCTCCATGAAGACATCTGCGATGAACGCAACCCCAGCGAAACAGTACATCAAGCCCAAGAAGATCAAGACTGCCTGCACCTCCTGGCCCCACTGCCTCTCCCAATTACCCCCGATCGGCAAGAAGATGCCGCCAGAGTCGCCACCAGCTATCTGGGGTACGCCCCCGTTGCAGATCTGCGGCTCGAGCTCGGCTGTCATAGGCGGGCCAGCGACGACGCTGTCGCAGCACCACGAGCACGCAACGAGACCGCGAGGGGCCCCGGGCACCGTGCGAGCTGGAGCACAAGCGGCCCGGGACGGGGCGGCGACAGACTGGGCCAGTGCGGCGTGAGCCAAGATGGGTACGGGCTTGGAGCCTGAAAGCTTTTTACGCCGGTCACATGTTGCTGCCTGGAGCTTTGGCGTCAAAGCCGCGGCGGGCGTCGCTCAGTGGGGGGGCGATGAATGGGGGGGAAGGAAGGAAAGAGCGCGCCCGTACGGAACTCAATACTAAAAGGGGGGACCCAGCTTCAAGCTACCCCCCCCCCCTTCCTTCGAAAAGGGGGGGGGGGGCTTCCGAAGCTACGCCCCTCCCCCCTCCCTTTTGGAAGCATTCTTGAGCTGGGGGGGCCCTGGCTAAAGGGGGGGGGCTTCGAAGCCTCCCCCCCTCCCTTTTCGGGGCCAGAGGTAAGCCCGGGCTCTCCTTTCTAAAGGGGGCGGGGGCTTCGGAGGCTACCCCCCCTCCCTTTTCGGGGCCAGAGGTAAGCCTGGGCTTCCCTTTCTCAGGGGGGGCGGGCTTCGGAAGCTACCCCCCCCCCATTCCTTTGCAGCCGGGGTCACGCGGGGGATCGCTATCAGGGTCGCGCGCGCGCGGCGCGGCGCGCGTTGTAGGCGCGGGCCAGTGGGCAGGGATTTGCACACTGAGGTTCCAGCAGGTTTTTCGGCGTTTTCGGTCTCAGGGGGCCGTTTTCGGAGCGGCAAAAGGGGGGCTTGGGGTCGACGACGACGACGACGACGACGACGACGACGACGACGACGACGACGACGACGGCTGCGGCGGCGGCGACGGCGGCGACGACGACGACGACCGCGACGACGACGACCACGACGACGACGGACGACGGCGTCGACGATGGACGACGGCGTCGACGACGGACGACGACGAGGGTTTAGGGTTAAGGTAATACGGTGTAGGGTTAGGTTTTGGGCTAGGGTTTAGGTAACAACGAGACTACGACCCAAGGTTTTCACGGCTCCTGGGTCGTGGTCTCGTTTTCTCGGGCCCCAGTTCGTTTTCTCGTTTTCTCGTTGACTCGGCCCCTGGGTCGTGGTCTCGGTTTCTCGGGCTCCGGTTCGTTTTCTCGTTTTCTTGTTTTCTCGGCCCTGGGTTTTTGTCTCGTTTTCTCGGCCCCATGGGCCGTGGTCTTGTTTTCTCGTTTTCTCGTTTTCTCGGCCCCTGGGTCGTGGTCTCGTTTTCTCTGACCCTGATTCGTTGTCTTCTTTTCTTGTTTTAACGTCCCCTTGGGTCGTGGTCTTGTTTTCTCGGACCCTGCTTCGTCTTCTCGGTTCTTGTTTTCTCGGCCCCTTGGTCGTAGTCCAGTTTTCTCGGACCCTGTTTTTTTTTATCGTTTTCGCATTCTCTCTGCCCCTTGGTCGTGGTCTCGTTTTCTCAGACCCCGTTTCGTCTTCTCGTTTTCTTGTTTTCTCGACTCCTGGCTCGTAGTCTCGTTTTCTCGGGCCTTTTTTTTTTTTTGTTTTATATATATATAATAATAATAATAATAATAATAATAATAATAATCGTTTTCTTGTTTTCTCGACCCCTGGATCGTGGTCTCGTTTTCTAGGACCAATATTAGCGTTTTCTCGGCCTGAGTCGTGGTCTCGTTTGCTCGGATTTTGTTGTTCCGTTTTCTCGTGTTCTCGGCCCCTGGGTCGTTATCGTGTTTTTTGGACCCTGGTTCATTGTCTCGATTCATCGTTGTTTTCTTGGCTTCTGGGTTTTTGTTTCGTTTTCTCGGGCCCTGGTTCGTTTTCTCGTTTTTCTCGTTTTCTCGGCCCTTGGGTTGTGTTCTCCCTTTCTCGGACCCTGGTTCGTTTTCTCGTTGTCTCGTTTTCTCGCCCCCTGGGTCGTGGTTTCGTTATCTCGGGCACTGTTTTGTTTTCTCGTTGTCTCGTTTTGTCGGACCTTGGGTCGTGGTCTCATTTTCTCGGACCCTGGTTCGTTTGTTTGGACCCTGGTTCGTTTTCTCATTTTCTCCGCCCCTGGGCCGTGGTCTCGATTTAACGGACCCTGGTTCATTTTCGCGTTTCTCGGCCCCTGGGTCGTGGTCTCGTTCTCTCGGACCCTGGTTCGTTTTTTGTGACCCTGGTTCGTTCTCTCGTTTTCTCGGCCCCTTGGCCATGGTCTCGTTTTCTCGGACCCTGCTTCGTTTCCTCGTTTTCTCAGCCCCTGGGTCGTGGTTTCGTTTTCTCTGACCCTGGGTCGTCGTCGTCGTCGGTCGTCGGTCGCGCGTCGTCCGTCGCCTTCTTCGCATGACCTCGTCCTCGTCGTGACGACCACGACGAGGTCATGCGAAGACGGCGACAATGACAGCGACGGCGGCGACAACGACGACGAGGACGACGACGGCGTGGTACGAAGACGTCGAGCGACGGCGACGGCAACGACGACGGCGACGGGGAAGGATCGTCCTGCAGGGGAAGTTCAAGGGAGGGAGGGGTAGATTCCTGCACGGGTGGTCCAAACGGGGGGGGTAGCTAAGCCCCCCCCCCCCTGGAAAGGGGCGGGGGGGGGAGCTTCCGGAGCGGCAAAACGGGGGGGGAGGGGGTGGGGGTAGCTTCCGGGGGGACACAAAAAGGGGGAGGGGGGGGGGTAGTTTCCATCAGGGGGGGTCCAAAGGGAGGGGGGGAGAGCTAAGCCCCCCCCCCTTGGAAAGGGGGGGAGGGGGGGGGTTTCCGGAGCGGCAAAAGGGGGAGAGAGGGGGGTAGCTTCCGGGGGGGGAACCAAAAAGGAGAGGGGGGGGTAGCTTCCAGCAGGGGTGGGCCAAGGGGGGGGGGCAGCTAAGGGGGGACCCCCCCCCTTTGCGAGTTCCGCGCGCGCTCTCTCGAAGGAAGGAAAGTGCACGTTTCGGGCCCTAAGGGCCCCCTTGGGGGCCCTAGTGGGCCCCTGAGGAGCCCTAAAGGGGCCTTTTTCTGCAGCCTGGGCTGCCACCCCATGTATCGCCCCCCACCCCCCCCTCACGCGACGCCCAAGAGTTTCAAAGTTCTTTACGCTGGTCACTTGATGCTCTCTGGAGCTTCAGCGTCAAAGCTGCGCTAATCGTGGGGCTGTCCGGGGGGAGGAGTCGCTGTTCATCGCTGCGCGCGCGCCCCCCAGCATGCATACCCCCAAACCTTCTGCTCCCACCCTCCTCATTCATGAACGTGCCACCGCTTGGTTTTTCAACCATGGAGTATAACCTGACACGGTAAGACAAGCGGGTCGGGCAGGCAGACCGTCAGACCCCAACGAACGGGTCGGGCGGGCGGGGCATTCGAGCGCGACTCCAAAAAAAAACTCAGGGGGGTGTCGGGCGAGAACGCAGTTCCAAAGTAACTCGTGAGGACGTCCTGGGCAAGAGTGCAACTCCTTAGTGGCGAGAGCGCAAGTCCTCGCTAAATTGCGAGGAAGTCCCCAGCGAGGAAGTCCTCCTCCTCCTCCTCCTCCGCCGCCTCCGCGTCCTCCTCCCTCCTCCGCCTCCTAATCCGCCTCCTCCTCCAGTCTTTCCTCTGAGAATCGGGATAAGATGACAAAGGAATTAAGGTCTCACACTCTATCTGCTCAGTGGTAGAGGATTCAGGGAGAGACATCAATGATAAGACTAAGATACCGTTAAGCAATAGTACCCAAGAACGGGAAGGAAGGAGGCCGGCCGCCCGACGACCGACGACGCGCGGCGGACGAAAGGCAGGCGCGCTCCTTTTCTCTCTTGAGCACCGAACAGCTGCGGAGCAGTGCCGCATTATAGTACTGACAGTACATTGCAAGGCAGGCAGTGAGAGCAGCAAGGTTTAGATGAGGCGGAGAGGAGCATATTCACCCCCCCCGCGGCGGGCCTCGCAGGGCCCATCCAGCCACAGTACCCCCGGCCTGTACATATGCACAACCACCGGAGCCAACCCCAAAAAGCTTTTACAACTCAACGGTGGCTGCCAGGGGACGGAGGGCCGAAGAGGCCCGACGACTCCCACCATTAGTTTAGATGAATTCTCTCCGACGATTCGACTTTGTCGATCGGTGGAGCTCTCTCAGCCGATTCGACTTTGCCGATCGGTCACTCCTGCAATGACTAAGTCACGCGGGCTTGGCTCAATTCAGATAATCCCACGGATTGCTGCCTCTCGACGGCGGGGTCGGAGGCCTCGGATGCGATGACGACGAGCCTCCCTGTCCGCCATCTTTCCCTCGGGGCGAGCGGGATCTGAATCCCTTGCCACGGCCAGCGTGATACGCTGTTCTGTTGCGCTTGTCTTGGTTCTTCGACTCTTTCCCCTTCGTCGAGAAGTAGCGGTTGTAGTCCGTGTAAGACAGTGTGTGCCACGTTCGTGATTACCAGACATTATTTGCCGTCCACCAGATGCGGTCACGATGTACGTAGTATCCATTCTGGACGTCATTTGCGAAGTGCGGGTAGTGGACCTGCAGGTCGTAGCTCGTAGCCGGCAGCGCCGCGGCCGACATCCATGGCCCCCTCGCGCGCGCGGGGTGGTCTAGACCAATCCCGTGGGTCAACCGATGAATACCACGAGTACTCTTCTCCTGCCGAAGCGGCTGGGCCGCTGGCAGAATACGGAGACTCGGTGACCTCTTCGCGAGCCCGATCGTCTTGGACGTCGGGTCTGCGTGGTGGAGGAGGCAGAGTTGGTCTCGCCTTCGGCAAATCATCTGGTCTCGTCGGCCCCTCCAGATCAGCTTGGCTGTCTGGAGGCCCAGTGGCACCTTCAGTTTCACCAATTGTCGCCCCTCGATCTCGAATGAATCAAATAATTTCTCTTGCAGCGGTGGCAACAGAGATACCAAATCTTCCACGCGCAGCACGAAAGGGGCCATCTACCCTATCTTGTAGTTCCATATCCTCGTCTTCGCAGTTATCTAGGAGCCAACGAATGGCCCCCTGCAACTTTGCGCCCTGACAACGGTTGTTTGTGCGGACCTGTATGCCCAAATTGCGGGCCCATTCCTCGATGAGATCGTCCGTGTGGACCGCAGCGCGAATGCGACAGTCAAGAGCGTGCCCGCCCTTCTGTCGCTTATCCTCAGCGCGGTCTGAGCTCCTGCCCCGGGCTGGGGCAGTATTCCCGGGGCACGCAACACAATGCCCCTCGACAATCAAGCTACGGATGATATCACCAACGATGGCGATCACGCGCATTATACGAAGACCCAATTGCATCTCCGAAA